CAAAGCAAAGATCGAACACTTGCTCATCTCTGCACATTGTTAGAGACAAGTGAATTACTGCTGTGATGTTGAAGGACATGCAAAAGTGTTCACAGCTACTGATGGGTCTTTCGAAAACGCTATTGAACATAGTTGGGGAAGTTACTCTGGCAAAAGCATACATTCCAAATTGCACTTTAGCTCTTGATTTGAAGATGATGCTAAACGGAGAAAATACTTAAAGTGTTTAAAGTTCCTATAAATACAAAGTATATGACAAAACCAAAAATGTAAAGAAAGAAATAATCATGCCTTTAATCTGTCCCACTCCCCAAAGCACAGAATCTCCCCCTTGACACCACCAAGTAATACAGAAGTTTTGCTCCTGTGATACCTGGTTTTCAGCCCCATGGATAAGATACATTCTTAAAAATTTACAGGCCACCCTAACTCTGCTTCCTACATGCCTCCTTCATCACACTGGATTCTTAAGATTATCTCAGTTGAGTGGATTATATGTATCCGCTTGAATAGATGAAATAAACTGATATAAATGGCACGAAATTATTCAAAGTTAAGTAGAGAGAGAAAACACCATTTAATTTGGAGACATTATTAGGAGGCCATTTTTTCTGAATGTGTGTGGCTATTTTGAACTCACAAGCCCTACGTACACAACTGAACATGACGTTTTCCAAGCGCCACTCCTTACCTTCTTGCATCTCCTCGGCATACCACTCTACAGACCCCTTACTGACTGGCCCAGTGAAGGAATACCACCGTGCTTCTCTCCATCCCCTCTCACCATGGCTGAATGCTTGTGCCTTTCCATGAGCCCTTTCCCTCCCTTTCCCAAGCTTCTTTCTGTCCCCCCAGTTTTCTTTGTTCAACCTGTATCTATCAGGGCTGGAGAACATGGGATGTTCCTCTTTCAGTGGAAGTCATCAGGCCAAACTGATTCAGACAGCGTAATTTTAAACAGAATTATGATATTTTTAAAAGATGCTGTATTGTAAGTACCGCATGAAATGGTATATACTTCACATGTTGTAAATCCATTTAAGTACAGACTAAAATGTACTGCTGACATATGAGATATGTCTCACTTTATGTTCCTTTTAAATATGTTGTATATGAGCTTACCCAAGACAAACCACATTCAAACACGATTCTAAAAGTATTATTTGAGCTATTTATACTATGTGAACAGGCCATTTTAATTTAGTCAAGTAAAGGAACAGTTTAGTAGTACTATTTTCCAGGGAACAGGCAGTTATAAAGAAATCCGGTGTACAAGTCATCCGGCCTCTTAAAACTGATTTAAAGATGATAGGAGAAATGTTTAACCATGCAATTGGAAAAAAAAAACGCAAAAGCCACAGACCTAAATGTAACCTCTCTTGACCAGCACCTTTTCTGGCTTGTGAAGATGTCTGCTTCTACCTCACTACCTCCACTGCTGTTTGAGTAATTCTGCCAATATATTACAAATGTGATAGAAGTTGGCTCAAAATTTTAGGATAACCCTGAAACACTCCAGAATTTTATACAGTTTCTCACAACAATTTTTTTCTGTTCCTGGAAATTATGATCTGTACATCTACAATGTTTCTACAAATTTAGTTGAATATTGTAATTTTCTCTTCCTCTCCTACACTTACAGGAATTCATAGTCACTAAGTATTGCTACAAAATGTTAGAAGCATTGCAGTGATGAGCTAGAAAGATAATTTGTGTTCTACAAGGAGTGAAATGATTCCTCAATATTTAAATGATGTTAACTAAACTCCACAAGATCTTTTTTGGCAAGAACTGCTACCTAATGGTCCAGCGTGCCACTCTGGAAACACACAATATGCCTATCAGTGAAAAAAAAAAAAACTGATTTTTTAAAAGCTGCCAAAATGAACAGTAAGTTTGTATATTCACTAGAAAGCATTTGCAGAAAGGGTAATAAAATCAGATTAATTTACATAAGCTGTACAAACAACAGTGGCTAAAACTGTAGTATACAAAAAAAGCAATTTTGCTTTTTTTTTTTCCAAATTATTTAAATAGAGACCCTTAAATATTTTCAAAGCAGATGATCATTAGATTTCTGGGAAAGATTAACAGCCAAGCTTCTAAAAGGCAAGAACGTACACAGTATAGACTTAACTATGTTTCACATTTCCTTAAGGAAAATAAGATTTGAGAGAATCTGACAATGAGATGAAATTGCTAAAAAACAACCAGCTTGAAAACCCTCATAATACAGTTTTAAGAACATTTTCAGAAAATGTGAAAAGTAGCAGTATGTACTTTAATTTATCAAATTTTCTTAATCCCTCTTTTCCCCTGGTTGCAGGAAGAAAAGTCTTCATCTGCTATAGATGACAGCAAAGTTTCTTGTAAGGGAATCCAGTGAAGCACATAAAGAAGTAATGGAAACAGCTGATGCTAAAAGGAAAATAACATACGATACTAGAAGAAGCTGTGCAGCTGAAACTCCTACAGTCGGTCTAGAGCTGCTACTGAAATAACACCCACAATCTCCCACACGAAATACATAAGGGAACAGAGAGTACAACGAAAAACCAAAGAGCAGACAACACATTTAGCTTTCTCATTGTAAAAGACAGCATGTACAGTAAAAGGACTTATACAGTGAGTTGCAGTTTCACCTCACTAACCAGTTCTCATCATTAATCCACCATTACCTTGCTGAGAAGAAATATTTCTTTTATGTAAAGATGACATACTTCTGCTATGCTGGGACTGGTGGAAAGGATAGGCTTTGCTTCTTTCAGGAGAGTAGCTCCTGCTGCTGACACTAGAGCCAGATCTGCTGTGCGGAGAATCCCTTCGGCTCCCTGGCGATTCCCTGAAGAAAGGAGAGTCCCTCTTATGAGGGGATCGCTCTCTCATATAATGAGAAGGATAGAAGCTTTTTCTTCTGAAGCCATCTCTGACGTCCCTTTGAAGACAACAGAAAAACACAAGTTACTTGGTTATCCTTCCAATGTTTGTGGAAAAGCACTAGATAACACGATGGCGACATTTTATGTCTGGTAAATATAAATAGGTTAGCTGTCAAATCTTCAGCATTGTTAGAGTACTAGGCAATGAATGAAAAACAAGTAGGAAAGTAGAAAAAAATATATATGTATGTGTTTTTTTCAGATTTCATTCAACTACATCGCTAGAAGCTAATTCCTTTTTACTTCTCGATAATACAGCTAAAATATAAGAGACATTCAAGAAACTGGGACTCTCACATTTTATGTCTTCAGATTCACTCCGCACCCCACCAGGAAATTAAGCCTTAATTCACAGTAGCTAAAAATGCATATACAAATATTGCTCAGACTATTTGGCTGTTTTTCAACTCTCTTTTTCTCTTAGCCCTACTTTCAGGGGACTATGTTCCTTATTTGATTTCACACACCTCGCTATGGGAAACGTCACTGAGGGATTTCGGTCTACATCCAGCAAGGAAAAAGAGAAAACTGCAGAGTACCTATCCTCATGCTTATTTATCAAGGTCAAATACTGAAGGAAAATATGAAGATTTATACCTACTAAAAAGTTTATGTCTTTCACAATACACAACATTAATTTTGAAATTTACTGTAAAATGCCACAGACACACTCAGTATTACATGAAACACAATTGATTTGAAACCATAATCTAGTAAACACCAAAACTTTCTACTAAATGTATATATTGTTACTCTGAACCATACCACAAACATCCTGACTATGTGCAAATTATATTAATATACATATATACGTACAGGTCATAAACCCAGTATCAAATTGAACTTTTCCTAAGCTAACAACCATGCACGTGAACACCTCCTGAATCTAGACTTGTGACATTTGCCTTGGTCGGAAGACACACAGAGGCACGACACTAAGAGAGGCAAGTACTCCTCAGCTCCTCCACAGCATTGCTAAACACAAATAGAGCCTTCATAGCATTTATAGTAAGCCAGATTATACCTTATTTCACTGTTTTCCTCTCCTATTTTTCATCAAAGTCCAATATTTTAAATAAGGGAGTGTCTCAGATGAGCAAAGATCTGGTGGTCTCATTTAGCACAATGTGGCTATAGCTAATTTTATGTTAGCGGATAAAGGAAAAAAGCCCTCTAGTGTACAATTCCTATAGTATGTTACAGGCCCACATTTTTGATGGGTAACAAAGGACTTCAGTGTGCAAAAGGTGTTTTGGACTACTGAAACGACACAGGTAGCACCACAGTAATACAAACCCTATTACATCGATGAGCTTTACACAGTGCTAATTTACTTTTTGCACGGAAAGCATATCTGCGTGGCTGGTTCTGCTTCAGAGTGCTAACATCGCACAAGCAACATTGATATTACGCTGCAACAGAAAAATCATTGGGGTAGGGGCACAGCCAGAAAAATACAGACAACCCTTCAACTTATTTCTGCAGTTCCGGGTGAAATACAGTGTCAGGAAAATAACACAAATTTTTATTTTGAAAATTTTCATACAAAACTGAAGTATGAATCAAGAGCTCTCAGCCACCCTGGTTTTCAGTAAAACACCACTGAAGCAAAGCCAGGTTTTAGAGATAATTATTTCACTGTTAACAGACCACAGGCCTTTTACAGGTATCTTATCTCACAGAAAAGCTATTTTACACATCTGCATAACAAAACCGATACAAAACAATGTTACACAGACTTATTTATAACAAGTGTGCTAAAAATCAATATTCATCTCCTTTCTAAACACATTTTCTTCTCCCCAAGCAAGCCAACAAAAGAAACAATTAAGGAATTGTTAAATAGTACTCTATCTAATAGCCTCTATACAGTAGCCATTGTATAGATTCATCCTTTAATGTAAGTATGAGCCCAGAATACACAGAAGGATAATCCTCCTGCTTTCTTCAAAGGCCTAAGAAGCAATATGCCCCCACTACTCTTTAGAAAACGTACAGATTAACAGGAGACTTTCCAGCAGGAGACAACTGAAATTATCAGAGACTGAGGAAACAGGTTTAACAAAGAAACACTCAAACCCCTCTGTCCACTTAAATCTAGCAAAAAGTAATCTAAAGAAGCCAGTCAAGTTCTCAGACCTATGAGGTGTAGTTGAACATGGGGAACTAACATGTTATCTACATTACGGGTATGAACATTTCATGTAGCAATAGACTTAAAGCAGAAGTTCAGACTTCAAGAATACCAGAAAGATTAGCTCAACAATGAACTAGTTTGTCAAGTGGGTTTTTTTTTTAATTTATTAAAGAACATATTGATCAAATATTCATCAGGAATGAGTTAAGTACAGCACGCTTTTTCTTCAGTTTCCTCCTAATCTCTCTCTTTAAATAACCTTATTTATCTTTAAAGCACGAGCTTTCTGGCAGAGCAGTACACCACTTGTATGCCCAAAGCATGTTTTTATGAGCAAGTTATTAAAACCTAGTATACAGAGGAGTTTATTATGGAAATGTTTACAGAGCCCCAGCTACTGCACACGTATAATAAATGCTCTAATATCCACAGAAGAACTTACAAAATATCATTGAAACACACTTTTAAACAGGAAAACATTTAAAAGCCTCATTCTACAACAATATTGCACACAAAAAAGTAGAATCTCATTTTCATTTTTTAAATTCTCATTTCATCACTCCATGTTAATTCTTAACTAGACCCTATCTCATACTGAACTCTCACATCATTAACTATATTAAATCTGGTTTGGACAGCATAGCAACAGCACAGCATTTCTGATGTTTTCCATCAGTGTAACAAACTACACTGAACAGAACAAAATAAGCATTGTTTTACTTCCCCCCCCCCACCAAATACTTAAGCTAACATACACCTGCAATTTGGTAATGAAGGCCTCAATTCAGCAAAGCAGTTAAGCACGTGCTTCAGATTCCAACACATACTCAAAAGGTTTATTGAGCAGGGACAATATTTAATAGAGATGCAAAATTTTGTGCTGGCTGTAACTTTAAAATAGAATGACTGCTCTTAATAACAAATACAGGATTAATCCCTTTTATATAGAATCCCTCTTATCTTTATGCTTTGTAGTCACATCTCTCACTTAGTTGTGAAAGCACAAATTAGTTCTCTCAGCAGGATTGCAACAGGAAGTATTTGTATTTTTAACCTCCACGAAACTTAACCATTAAATTCTCACTAAAGCTGATAAACTTGGGTGAGCTCCTGAAATTTTATAAGTAAACAGCCATACCCTGATATACCATCCACCAAGGGCGACTGAGGGAAGAGCACAAGCCTGATAGTTATTTCAGTTAACCATCAGTTCCAGTTTCCTGGAAAAAAACCCACAAATACTGAATAGGCAAAGGTACGGCTTTCTGCATAGCAGGAGACCAAGAGAATACAACACAGGGGAGATTTTCCCTTGCCAAAGGATCAGACACCACCTTTCCCAAGCTACCACTACCACACTGAGTACTTCTGGTCTCATCCCTCCCTGCCATTTTAAGCCCAGGAAACCATTCAGCAGCAATGCTGTGGGAAACTGAGGACTACTGGAAGCCTTCTAGTTTACAAAAGGGAGTGGTACAGCTTAAGCTATGTGAAACAAACACTAACACAAACTGATGTGTCAGTTTTATAATTTAAGAGTACAGAGAGGCAAAATTCAATCACTAGCTAGATGTGAAATGCTTGGAATGGAGGTGTATTGGGTACATGAAATCACATCACATGCTACATGGGAAAGTTTTGTTTGTAAGAGCAATCTTAGTTCGCTCTCATTGAATTCACGGTACTGGGCAACTGCACAATAATTCATGCTTACTATTCTCTTGGACGTCTACATCCCAATACAGACATCTATCTTTTCAATTAAAACATCAACCTGCAATGTGGTCCAGCCATAGAGGACACATCTCACATCTGACACGGCACTGAAGAGACTGGTAGGCTTGATTACTAACCTTGCCTAAAAGTAACTGGGCTCCCCAGTTCAAGAAGGATAGGGAACTGCTGGAGAGGGTCCAGCAAAGGGCAACGAAGATGATTAGGGGATTGGAACATCTCTCATATGAAGAAAGGCTGAGGGACTTGGGTCTCTTTAGTCTAGAGAAAAGAAGATTGAGGGGGGATCTTATTAATACTTACAAATACTTAAAGGGAGGATGCCAGGGGGATGGGAGCAGTCTTTTTTCAGTGGTGCCCAGTGATAGGACGAGGGGTAATGGGCATAAACTTGAACATAGGAAGTTCCATCTTAACATGAGAAGGAACTTCTTTACTTTGAGGGTAGTGGAGCACTGGAACAGGCTGCCCAGAGAGGTTGTGGAGTCTCCCACTCTGGAGACATTCAAAACCCGCCTGGACGCTGTCCTGTGCAACCTGTTGTAGGTGACCCTGCTCTGGCAGGGGGGTTGGACTGGATGATCTCCAGAGGTCCCTTCCAACCCTGACCATTCTGTGATTCTGTAACACACACTATTCTAAAAATAAATTGAGGAAGTTATACATACATCTCCCAAGACACTAGACTTCAATGTAAAAAGATGAAACAGCCAAGATTTGAACCATGCTTTTTAACTCAATACACTTTCTGTGTCTCATAGTACAGAAGCAAGGGGAAGGGGGAGGAAGAGTGAAACAAAAATAAAAAAATCCTCTTGGCCTTCCTTGTCAGGATGCTGCAGGGGCTGGTAGAGCTACCATAGTGATTCAGATGATGTGGAAACAGTTAATAAAATATACTACACCCCTGACCTCTAAGTTTCGCAGAAGATGTGCTCTGTTAAACATCCAAAAAGCAAACACGAAGAATCAAGAACACCTCTACTTTTAACATCTTCAAAGCAAATGTAGGTGGTGGAAGATTCCAGCCACCATCCTCTCTCCCAGAACTCATTCCCTTTCTTTCCAAAGTACGCAGCACATGTTTGTGCAACAAACCAACAATTTACTTTTGTTCTGCTTTAG